AAGATTGAAGTACTTGTTTTGTTATCTCCATCTAAATCGATCCAGACAACCTTTGTTTTATTTTGTAGGATCATCCACACAAACTTCAAGGCCTTTTGACTTGTAAATTAGTTCCCTAACTTTCCTGTGAAGCTGATATAAAAAAATAACATGATGCTTTTAGTTTGTAAGTTATATGATGGAGTTTATGATAGTTTTGAAATATATAAAACTACTTTGTTTGTTATTAAATATATCTTTTATCATACTATTTCATGAGATATTTTTTTCCAACTTTTTAAGTTGTTGCATGAAGAAGAAATCTTTCACAAGAATATCACCTTCATCTAAGTCAGGATCAGTCATTGTATATTTTTGCTGCTGTTTTGCTTCTTTTCATTCCTTGACAATGAAACGAAGAAAAATAGTTAGCTCAATTAAAAAATAAAAATCAAACATAAGTAAGAAATAATCTAAACCAATATTAAATTAAAATAGTCCTTGATAACAATATCAAAAACTTATTTATAATTTTATATTCTGTAAATGTACGAACACTACCATAGTCTCAACTAGAGCAATTAGAAATTTTCGCCAAGCACGCGTCGTCCCAACGAATACCGACAAGTAGAGTTAGTGACTAAAAATTGGGATATCATTCCCACGAGAATTATTATCTAACCATTACTGAAATTATTTCTAATTTCAATTCGAATGAAAACAAATAAAAGTTTTTTTTTTGTGATTTTTTTATTTTATTTTAATATACTAAAATAATTAAAGTAAATTTTTAATGATGGTTTAAGTGTTACGATTTGCGAGTTCACCATATGTATCCCCTTAATGTCAATCACTAACTTTTATAACAATTGATTACGCGTACGTGATCGAATTCTTTTAGAATAATGTTGTTTACAGTCAGTTACTACTGTAGTAATTCTACATGATATACATGTAGTGATTAATGATTTGATACATTAGGCAATAAAGTCTACCACATTAAATTATAATTTTTATATATACTAATCTCCACTAAAACTGAAACAAATGAATGATAGTTAAATTTATTTTCATTCAATTATTAAAACTGACTTTTTATTTCCAAAAATTATCAATTAAATAAATATAAACATTAAGTATATTACCTACCCATTCAACTACCTATTTACTCAACTACCCACTGAAACATTTATTTTTTTCCATTTCTACTAATTCATTACATAATTCCTCTTCCATTCTCACTAAATCAAAGTGCCTACCGTCTCAATTCGGCTGAAATCCTCTGCAAAAGTAAGTTTTCTTTTTCTTTTCAACCTACATACTAGCCGAGCACACAACAGTGTCGACGGCATTGCACAAGGACCGGTCATGGCTATCGTATAGAGCCATGACCAGTTCTCGTGTCCCTGTGCACGGAACGGAGGCACACACCTCTGTCTACATCCGTGGACGGAAACCCCAGCAATTATCTCCGTCGTACAGAGGACGGAGGCATATTGTCGCATATCCGTCCTCGCACAGAGAGACACCCAAACACCTCCGTGCGGCATCCCGTCCGTGTTCCCGTCGCACATACAGAGAGAAGAACAAAAGCCTTCGTGGGCAGTACAAACCCTTACTCACGTCTCCTATTGCCAGTATAAAGATTCATACATATGTCTCCATCCAAAGACATCCTCTGTCTTTTGACGAGCCCACCTAAGGGCTCTCTGCTGCGCCTGGAAGGCTCATTGACGTCTCTCTGTTAGCAGCCTGCCGCCCAATAACAATCTCTGTGCACAAACATAGACACAAAACCTCTCACGAATGCACATTGACACCTGTATTCCACTAAGAAACTATGTTCTCCTGTCCCATTCGCACACGCCAAGCACACACAAGTCCAAACATTTATTGATTTTTTTATAATCGTTTATTTTAATAATTTTTTCGCACTGGTTTGATTGTTTACTTTCTTGATTTATGCAGATGTCTTTGGAATATATGTTATCTACAGATCACTGGTTTTCGGCTACAATCACTCAGTTCCCAATTATAGATACGTAAAAGATTTTGTGGATTTTATGAATTCTGATCAATATGCTCTCTGTACTAACTTCCATGCATTCATGAATGGAGTCATTCGTAGACAAGAACAAGATCAACAATTTAGTAGCAAATTGATTCACGAGTTTATAATGAGAATTATAGACTGTGGCAAAAATAATGAACTTTGGGTAAAATTAGATAACCATTTTGCACGTTTCAGTCTGCAAGAATTCTGCCTTATTATAGGATTACCATGTCATGAAATATCAGTTGATCTTGACTTCCATAATACCCGACTTAAAAATCAATATTTCTTTGGTGTTAAGAGAATTACTATGACTATGCCGAATGAGGTATTTCATCTCTGCGAAGACGAAGATGATTAATTTAAACTGGGATTAGTCATGATAGTGGAATGTGTTTTAAAACCAAAGGGAGCCATATTGATTATTGAACATTAGGTATGGTTGACAAACTTAATGAAATTTCATCTCTGCGAAGACGAAGAGGATAAATTTAAACTGGGATTAGTCATGATAGTGGAATGTGTTTTAAAACCAACAGGAAGACATATTGATTACAGAACATTAGGTATGGTTGACCAACTTAATGACTTCCTTCAATACCCATGGGGGCGTAAATCATATTTTGTGTTGTTAAATTCACTCCGAGAGTCTCGCCTATAAAGAGCACACAGATTAGAAGAAAATCAACAAAATGAATGTAAATATGCATTGCACGGATATCCACTAGCCTTCCAGGTATGTTTTTATATTTTTTTTTCCTCCAAATGCAAATATACTTTATATATGTAATTCTTATCATCTTTATATTTAATTTCTTATTTTTTGTATTCAATTATCTCAGTATTATAATCTTTATAATCTTTATATTCAATTTTATAATTGTTGTATTCAATTATCTCAGTATTGGATATATGAAGCCTTCCCACGAATTGGAAAAATATTTGGACGACGTAGATACAAAACATTGCAATGTCCAAGAATGCACAGATGGAAACCGAATAGATTTTGGACAGAAAATATAATTAGGCAAATTTTGGATAATGAAGAGGTGGTTAAATTATTTAATTAAATTTCTTCATCAAATACTATATGTCTTTGTATTTTTCCAACAAATCATTTGAGCATTTTAATTGCAGATTCAAGTAGTTGCAGTCTTAAACCCTACCGAAGAAGAATTGTAGACTGTGAGGTATACCACTCTTTCACTTCCAGATGACAATCAACATGACGTATTAGATACCATTGCAGGTAAAGATGTGCACAATGTAACAACACAAATCCCTCAAAATATGCTTCTACCTGGCCCAAGTTCTAGCTCCAATCACGGTGATCCATCTAGCTCGAGGTCTAGCTCCAATTACATCACAAAAGAAGATATGGACAACATGTTCGATGTATATAGACAACATGTAGTATCGGATGTATCAGATTTATGCAACAATTTGAAAACAAGCATCATTGAACAACAAGAAAGCCGTTATCAAGCCATTCTTCTCAACCAACAACAGTTATCTGAACAACAACAAAAATGGCAACAAGACTACTTTCAACAATAACACGGCTCACAATAACAACACTATCAAGACATGCAGTCTAACATGAAGAGTTACGTGGATACAAGTTTAGTTTCAGTAAGATCGTACATAGATGAAGAAAACTCCAATATGATGAATACAATATCAAACTGGAAAACAAATATGGAAGGTATTATGGCTTCCTTCCAGGAAGATATTCGTCCCCAACAACCTCAAATTGCGAAACATGCTTCAACATCTGAACAAGCACAAGAGGTTGAAAATGTTGAAAGCTTAACCAAAAACAAAAAACGTCAAAAATCTTGGACAAGTTCTGCATTTGAAGGTTATACTTTGGAAGATTACAATATGGAAAAATATATTGTTATTAGAGATTGGATATCAAGAAATCCATCAGGGTAAGCAATCTAACTTAAATATTAACATTTTAGTTTCATTTATTTAAAACTAATTTCTATTATCTTATTCTTACGTAGATCATATTTGGAAGAAGGAAGTGGCAATCTCCACAGCAGAGATGTTTTGCAAAGTATTATGGATATAAGACAAGATATCAATACTAAGGTTACTAATATTACTTCATCATTGATTATATTTAGTATATTTCATTTATAGTAATCTATTTCACCAATTAATATATTCCAATCTTTCTTACTTACTTTATTAGAATATTGACATGGAATTAAATTTCTTGAGGCGACTTATCAAAGAAAGTTGCACCCGTCTTTCAAAAGAATATGCAATTCTTGATTTTTCATTTGAAGGTCAATGTGCTCATGAGTTGATGATGCATAGAAGCAGACAACAAGGAGTTGCAAATAAAAAGGCATCACTCAATCTTCATCGTCTAGAACAATACGTAAATGGCATTTTACCATCAAATAGTCGCCCATAGTTAGCATCTAATTACTTATTAATTCCATGCTTCTATCCNTACCGTGTGGCTTTTCGAGAATGGAAATTCCAAATATATGATTGTAGCCATAGTATTCATACCACACAAAAAGTCATAGATCATACAAATGCAACATTAAATATGGTCCACTTATTATTAATGTCAGAAGTTTCCATCAATCCTGTTATAAAGAAACATAGAAACAAACAACTGGAAGTAGAGATTATACCCTACCTGCCTTGTAGAAATAACGGGTAAATATTATTTACCTATTTTTCATCTGACTTTCATTTTATTTTATAACTAATTTGTTCTAATGAAAAATTTTCTCTTCTTCATAGGCCAAATTGTGGAGTTTTTTTGCTAAAGTACATAGAATGCTTCATTTTTGGATATCCTATCGAATTAGTTAACCCGGGCAAAATGACTATATACCAACGAAAGTTGGTACTAGACATTTGCAGCAATCAATACTATCTACGCATCACAACGTGAATATTCCGACTCAGATTCAATTGCAAGAACTGCCAGTTTATAATGTCATTTCCCAGCAGTGGTACTGATCTATCAATTATTAATATCAAGTAACGTTGTCCAATTTATATTTCATCATTTCGTGTTTGTCAATTTATGAAAAATATGATTTTATGTAATCAATTTTTATATAGGCTGTTGCTTCTTCACACTACTTCTTTGATCCTATTATGTATTATATATTCTATCTTATTGATTAATACTCAAAATAATCTTTACCTTTTCATATTTTATACTTTGACTAACTTACTGTACCACACATAACTTTCAAAAAAAAATTTATAACTAATTTCTAGCTAACCATAAAGTAGCTTACAGAAAAAGTGTCAAATAATCTCTGATTGTTTAATGAATTGAAGACATTTTTACTTGTTATTGGCAATGGAGTTTCAGCGGCAGATCAGAGTTTTGATGTGAGCTTTTTAAAAAACAATCGAACCACAAATAAGTTTGAATGAAATTACTTGACCAAAATCGTCAGTTCCTTGAAGTAAAACTATCTTTTGCTTACTCGTCATGTTTAGCCTATGACTTCATTCTCATATTTCTCGAGTCAATTTGAGGTTTGAATTGTTTATCATTCATTTCTACATGGGCAAGCCTTCAATTATGGATAATTTAAAGTTGTTGAATTTCCTGTTTATTTGGATAGTTCTCCATCCTAGGAGAAATACCTCCATCGGCATGAAGGAATGCCTCCATAAAAGCATGGATGGAGGCATCAAATGTTGAAGTCTGCAGCTGATTTCACTGGATTCACCTCTTGCTTACCATTTTTACGGTTAATCAAAAAGATTGAATTTACCAGATTTTAATCAAGCATATGTCGTTTTGACAATGAGCATACTGGATTTTAAAGTTTCATACCGGATTTACAATTTTTTCAAATTGAATTGAACTTACCGGATTTGAAGATAACTCACCGTGTTTGAAGCTTACTGGTATCGTTCAAGCCATACCGGATTAACAAAGAACTAA